ACTCTCACCCCCTGTGCCTGTGCTCACTTACAACGGTTGCATTTAGACACTAGGGTTTGGATAGAGTTGGGGTGGAGGGGAAACTGGCACCATGCCAGCCTTTGCTCCTTCTTCTTTCCTTTTTAATGGCACTATACAACAACACACATCAACAGCACATCTAGGGGCGGGGGTGTATGTCTCGGGGTCTTATTTTTTTTATTTTATTTTATTTTTTCCTCCCCCCCTTGTTCCCTGACTGCCATTCCGGGGGTGGGGTCCGGGAGAAGGGCAGGCCGTCGGGTGTTGACCAGGACTATGTGGGGGTTCGGGGTCTGGGGGGGTTGCTGTGGGTGGTGCTGGCGCTGTGCTCTCCCTGGGGTTGTTTGGACCCCCTGAGCTTGGCTCTTGGGTGCCATGGTTGGCCCGCTGGCCAGGGTGGCTGCCGGGGCCTGGTGGGTGGTCGGCTGGGGGCACGTGCTTGGTTGTTGGCGGTGTGTGGGGGTGGTCGGTGGCGTGTCCTCTTCATGGTGGGGGGGTGTCCTGTCGGCTGGGCATGGCCTGGGCCGGGTCTGGGGTATTGGCTCTTCTCCGCTCAAGAATGAATGGGTTTACCTCCTGGGTTTGGGCATGGGCTGCCCCCTGTAGAGGGTGGGTACATGTCTTGGACCTGGGGGGTATAGAGTGCGTATTGGGAATAAGAATGAAATGTATCGTTATTGTATGTCTTTGAGTGAGTGAATGTGAGAATGAGGTTGGGATTGTGTGATTGTGTCTGTGTATGAATGGGTATTTGTTAGGCCGAGACTCGGACTGCCCCCTCTTTGATACAACTGGGGGTGCTTGGCATCGCGCCTCTATCGCGCGGCCCCCTGGTGGGGTGTGCTCTTGCCTGCCGGCGCGCTTGGGGCCCTTGGTGTCGGGGGCTGGGTGCTTGGACGTGTGTCGGCTCGGCCTGGTGTCTGCCTGGTGGGGCTCGGGTCCTCTGGCCCTGTCGGGCCTTGGCCTGGGTAGTGTGAGTCCTCGGTGCTCAGGCCTCGGTGCCCGGGCCTGGACCTACATCGGTGCAGCGGGTTCCGACGGAGGCCTATGAGTTTGTCGCTGTTGGCCCCGGGGGGTCACTGTATGTGGTCACTGGTGGGGATCTTCCGGTTCTCCCCTGTGGTCCGTTCTGGGGGGTGGGTGAGTGGTTCGTCCTGTGTGGGTGGCCCTGGGGGCTCCGCGGTCGGGGTCCCTCCTGGGGTCTTGGGCTCTGGTCCCCCCTTTTTCGTCTGCCTCTGGTCTTGGGGGTCGGGTCTCTGCTGCTTCACGGTTACTATTAAATGTTCTATTAGAGAAGCCTTATACACTTATGCATGCTCACAACCACACACAAATAGATGCAGGGATGCTTATGTAGGCTTTATATGTAGATATATAGATATGTATATGAATGTATATTCATGTGTATGTATGTATGTATATAGGCGTAGGTATGGGTATATATATTTATGGAAACTTACTGCAAAGCCATGAATATTTTAAGTTCTTTATACATATGTATTTTGTTGCTGTGTTTTGTCATGTTCTTTGCAGGTGAACAGACAGTGGCCGGGTGTTTTGCCGTGTGCTCTCTGTGTATATTTTGGAGTCTTACTTTGTCTTTTCTTTCTATCCTATTAAAAAAATATATATATAATAAAAAAAAAACCTACACTAGATAATCACTAGAATAAATATTTCATAATAATGGTGTGGAGAGGATGGCTGTAAGGGGAGAAGGGAGGCCATCTAAGCAAAAAAAAAAATAAAAAAAAAATAAAAAAATAAAAAACTAACTTAAGAAATTTAAAGCCATCCCGTCCCTGATGTCAGCCAGGCAGTTGAGCAGCGGTTGAATAGAGCATGTACCACTGTGTCTTAGGGGGAAGTAAATTTGACAGTCATCGGCATAGAAGTGGAAGGGCATGTTGCGTTTCCGGAAAATAGCACCAAGCGGCAGCAGGTATAAAGAGAATAGGAGGGGTCCCAGGATGGACCCCTGCTGAACCCCCCATTTAAGCTCTGCCTCTGCGGAACTAAAATCCTTGATGGAGACACAAAAGGATCTGTCAGTGAGGTAAGATCTGAACCAATTGAGGGCTGATCCTGTGACGCCCACCCACTGCTCCAACCTTGCAATGAGGATCTCATGGTCGATGGTGTCAAAGGCGGCTGTGAGGTCCAACAGGACAAGCAGCACAGAATCACCGGTATCTGTGAATCTGAAGATGTCGTTAAAGACCTTCAGCAGGGCATTTTCAGTGCTGTGGAGAGGTTTAAAGCCAGATTGGAAAAGCTCTAAGATGGCGTGATCCTCCAGGAATCACTTCAACTGGGACTCGACTATTTTCTCCAGTACTTTAGAAACAAATGGGAGTTTGGAGACAGGCCGGAAGTTGGAAACGACTGAGGGGTCAAGGTTTGGTTTTTTCAGGAGAGGCTGGACAGCAGCATTTTTAAAGGATTTTGGCACCACGCCAGTGGATAAACTACTGTTTACTATGGCAAGAATGGACGGACTTAGAGTAGGAAAAACCTCCTTTAGTAGTCGAGGGGGGACCACATCAAAGGGGGAGCCAGAAGGTTTCAAGTTGCACATGACCTGCTCTAGAGAAGATAGAGTGATGGGATCAAAATGTTCAAAAGGAGCTACAGATTGAGGTGGGATGGATGGGTCATGAGTTGGAGGGGAAATGAAAGCCCTGGTGGTCGCAATTTTTTCCAAAAAGAAATGTAGGAAGTTGTCGCACAGCTCAGTCGAGGCTTCCAGAGGTGATGGTTCAGTGAGGTGGAGAACAGAGTTTAGGGTGGAGAAGAGGACACGTGGGTTGTGAGAGTTTCAGGTAATTATATCAGAGAAGAATTTTGATTTTGCAGCTTTTACAGTTTTCTGATAACAGTGCCAACTCTCTTTAAGTATTTGAAAAGAGACCTGCAGCCTGTCTTTCCTCCACTTTCGTTCCGCCCTCCTACATTGCTGCTTAACGGCCTTGGTGACGTCACTCAGCCAAGGTTCTGCTCTCAGTTTTGATTTTTTGGTTTTAACAGGTGCAACATGATTCAGAGTCTTTAAGCAGACAGAGTTGAACTGGGATGTCAGCTTCTCTGTGATGGTGAGAAACACTGGGGGCTGAATTATCATTACAGAGTTATAAACATCTGTGAAACGTGCAGCAGTGAAGTGGTTAATGGTCCGGCTGTGACATGCAGGAATGCACGACTTAGGAGTTAGATGGGGGAGGGTGAACTCAAACCGGTCTGGCATGTGGTCTGAAAAAACATTATCACCAATTACAAGATTATTAACAGTCATATCATGAGTTAAAACAAGGTCCAGTGTATGTCCCCGCTCTTGGGTCAGACCGTTTACATGCTGAGTTAAATTAAATGAGTCCAATAGATCTAAAAAGTCCTTACCAAGGGCTTCTCATGACAGAACACGTGCAAATTAAAGTCACCAATAATGAAAACATGCTCATATTTTGGAGTGATTTCAGCCAAGAAGTCAGAAAACTCATTTATGAAATCCTTAGACCGAGGAGGGCGATAGACGAGTGCAAATAACGTCGGAGGTGAATGTCCGAGTTCAAAGACGCTCAGTTCAAAGCTGGCATGGGAAACTGGGATGGGCAGTTGTTTACAGTCAAAAGTTGATTTGAATATTGTTAATAATCCACCACCGCGCCGGCCTGATGGCTGCGGGGCGTTAAAACACAGACAGTTCGGTGGCAGTAATTCCGTCAAGGCGCTGGACTCACCCGGAGACATCCAAGTCTCTGTGATACACAGAAAGTCCAAATCGTGCTCTTGAAAGTAATCCCTGAGGATAAAAGTTTTGTTGGTAACAGATCTAGCGTTGACCAAACACATCCGGATACTGTCCAAAGTGGAGCCAGCAGCGGTGGAGTTAGCGCGCGCTAATGGCCGCAGGTTTTCAATAACAGCCCCTCCAGGTCGGTCCGAGCTGCGCAACGGCTTACAACTAAAGCTTGTTACCTGGTCCGGGCACACAGGAGAGGAAGATGCAGCGCGCAGAGCTTTCAGTTTTACCAGCTGACCAGCACGTTTTCCCCGGCATCTGAAGCGATATCTCCGGGCAGACAGGTGAGGAGCGCAGTGAAGGTAAGCTGGCACGTCCGCCATCGAGGGGGAGGAGGGGGGGGGTCCAGAGGTACGCTGATAATGGTCCAAATAAGCGACTTCAGTGCCAGAAAAACGAAGATTCAAAAGTTGTTGTCTGTCATACACCAGCAGAGAGTTGATGTCACAGATGTGAAATGCAAAAAACAAAAATAATCTGAACACCATCAGCAGAGGTGGATGGCAAGCCATGTACACGGGCGCCATCTTACCGGAAGTCATCTGATCAGCTGCAGCAGGAAGTTTATCCTGCAGTAGTAAAGGCTACACAACACTGCAAGAGGAAGCTTGTTCTGCTGCGCTGGGCTGCACAAATGTGCTGCAGGTGCTAAATAATTTAAATTATTCATTTAAAATTTAAATTCCATGCCAATTGTGCGGCTCATTCATCAGTCAGCCAATCATGTCCAATCTTATTTTGAAAAACCGTGATAGAGCTAATCTGCGATAAACAAACCGTGAAGTAGCGAGGTATATATATATAGATCTGGTGCTATATAAATAAACTGAAATGAATATATTTTGCCCAATAGTAGCACAAACAATGACACGTTTCCCTCACACTTATGTCAGTGGTGATTTCTCTTGACTAATGAAGGCTTCACACACTCCACCCATTTTCAGTTCCTGCTGCTCCACTGTTGAAATCCCCATAAGTCAAACCTTGTCAGCAGATTTATATTACAATCCTGTAATAGCCTGACTGATCTCTGACACTCTGACTTCAGAAACTAAATATTTGGAAACACCATCACCACTAGACTTTCACACCTAAACATATCTTTGGCACAGTTTAACAAGAATCTCAAAATAGGAAAGGTTTTCCTGTCATGTGTTTAAAGTGCAAAAATTACATGTACCGAGCAAAGTATCTTCTGGATGGATTTCTGTCCCTGCTGGAAGCAGTGGTGCATTTATAGCATTCTTCCCCTCCTCATGGAGATCACTCACTGTGGAGACAACAATACATACAAACTATTATGATCTTCAGCATACAGGCAAAAAGCAGAACAATCTATAATTAAATATAGTACACAAAGTATTGGGAAATTGAAAATGAATAAAGGATTAGGACAGAGAATCAACCAGTATATAACTGAGAGGAAAAAAAAAAGAATAAGAAAGCAAACTGGTAGCAGTACAAGTGTAAAGTAGCAATGTTTTCAATTGAGTAAGGGGAAACTGAAATACATGGCATCTGAAAAGTGTGAGAAGCAGCAGACCAACACACATCTGTCCACTTTATGTGGGTCTCTGCAACAGAGACTTCTACTCCAGATTTGAAATTAATCAAAACTCAACCACTTTAAAAACGGTTTAAGTAAAAGTTCAGATCATTTGACACATGGTTTCTGTGGATAAGATATGAACAAATAATTTCTTAACCTGTTATAGGTAGCTCTTTGAATGGCCTCAGTTTAAGAAATTAGAGTTTAATATTTGCTGATTGATGAGCTAACACGCAGTCAGTCCATAGTAGTTCATGCAAATTACAAATGCAAAAAAAAGTGACTGCATAAAATGTTGCAAAATCCATCCATCCATTTTCTTCTGCTTATCCGGGGTCAGGTCGTGGGGGTAGCAGCTTAAGTAGGGAGGCCCAGACTTCCCTCTCCCCAGCCACTTGGGCCAGCTCCTCCGGGGGAATCCCGAGGCGTTCCCAGGCCAGCCGAGAAACATAGTCCCTCCAGCGTGTCCTGGGTCTTCCTCTGGGTCTCCTCCCGGTGGGACGTGCCCGGAACACCTCACCAGGGAGGCGTCCAGGAGGCATCCTAACCAGTTGCCCGAGCCACCTCAACTGGCTCCTCTCGATGTGGAGAAGTAACGGCTCTACTCTGAGTCCCTCCCGGATGACCGAGCTTCTCACCCTATCACTAAGGGAGAGCCCAGACACCCTGCGGAGAAAACTCATTTTGGCCGCCTGTATCCGTGATCTCGTTCTTTCAGTCACAACCCAAAGCTCATGACCATAGATGAGGGTAGGAACGTAGATCGACCAGTAAATTGAGAGCATGACCTTTTGACTCAGCTCTCTCTTCTTCACGATAGACTGGTACAGCGTCTGCTTCACTGCAGACACTGCACCTATCCGCCTATCGATCTCAAGCTCCATTTTTCCCTCATTCGTGAACAAGACCCCAAGATATTTGAACTCCTCCACTTGGGGCAAGACCTCCTCCCCGACCCAGAGAGGGCACTCCACCCTTTTCCGGCTCAGAAGCTGAAGCTGTTGCAAAATATCTTTAGGAAAATACAGTACTCCCTCGTTTATCGCGGGGATCTGTACCCTAAAGTACCATGATAAGTGAAAAACCACAAAGTAGGAATAGTAATACAAGTAGTAAGTAGTAGTTTATTTTATATATATATATATATATATATATATATATATATATATATATATATATGAAGGCGTTTGAAACCCTTCCACACTCTTGCAATATTCAACAATGTTTCTAAACTCTCTAAAAGTGTCATAGTCTGCACTTTGTCTGTTTTCTTTGTGTTCTTCTTGTCTTTATTTACTTTCCTGTTCTGTCATAATTTATCCTCTTGTCTGTAATTTTTGTGCTTATCCTTTGCTTGGTTCCTTTTTTCACTTCCTAGTGTTTTGCCTCCATCATGTGGTCTGTCTTAAGTTACTACTCCCTCATTAAGTTCCAGGTTTCTTCACCTGTTGTCATCCCAGCTGTTTGTCATTTGCCTTGTCAGTGTTAGTGTATTTAAGTCAGTGTGTTCAGTTGTCTGGTATCTGGTCATTTCCTCATGAAGACTTCTGCCTCTTGTTTCATGCCCTTCACTTCGTCTTGGTTTTTGTCTCCCCTCATGACCTGCTATTATTCATGTAAGTTTTTGCTGCCACGTCAGCCATTTTGTTTATTTTTTCATTAAATACTTTTCTTTACTCTTAACCTGAGTTGTTTGAGTCCTCCCTGCATTTTTGGGTTCAAAACAATACCAGATCCTTACAGAAAGACCAGCTCAAACTGAACCCAGCAGGAGGATGACAACAATTTTTGAGTTCCTGTCCCGCCAAGCAGAAATAAACTCTCCAGCAGGACATGGAGAGGAGAGAGACTCAGTTCAGGGGAACTCGCCTGGCCTAGTGATGGCCAAATGAAGCAATAAAGCAGTATTGAACCACTTTGCCAATTGTATTGAACTTGGGTTCATTCATACAAAGGTTCATTTCAGTGACATCTAGTGGTGAAATAGTAGACGACAAACACTGCCAATATATGTTTAGCTGATTCAGTAGACATGTTGACTGGTACCGGTATCTGGGATTGAGAGAGGGTGTGCTTTATAAAACGGTAGGTGCAGGGAAGGTGGGTTGTGCTTAGTGATGTTAAAATGAAGCTTTTTGAAGCATCAGTGTGTCCTCCCCCAGAAATTTTGGAATAAGAGATGCCATTTCCTGTATTTTGGTGTATTTTAACAGGTTGTTAAACATTTGAATAAACTGATTAAAAACAGCTATCTTTTAAATGACGAGGCTCAGAGACCAACAACCTGTGTCAATAAAGGTTAAATTGAAATTACTATTTTAGAGAGCAACAACAATTAACAAGCCTGTGCATGAATGCACGTCCTTGACAGTCTGTCAGGCGTCCTAACCCCTCCTCCCTCACCTACACACACACACACACACGCACACACACACACACACACGCACACACACACACACACACACACACATACACACGGCCGAGTGCCGACCTGAACTCTTCTCAGCCGAATTCAGTCCTGTGTGTTCTGCTCCAATCTCAATTGCCACTGCCTCTGCTGTCCAGATATCCATCCATTTATTTTAGATAATAAATTGTATTTTCAACATTTTGATCGCTGTTATTTTGACTAATTAGTGCCGTTGTTTTGATATGTGATGTAATACACATCAAACATTTCACTCGGTTTTTTTTTGTTTTTTTACTGTAAGCTTATTTATTTTGTCTGAAATGTTATGCACTGTAATGTATGCAGGAGTTCCGACACAGCAGTTGTGCCACGCAGGACATGCAGTCCGTGTCTCTGCTGGCAGGAGCGTGGCGCGGCCACAACATCCACTCGTTGTACTTTTAATAAATAATCAAAATTAAAATGCGCAATGACTTCGGACTTTTAGGGGCGGAGTTGGCAGATCCGAGTGGTCAAAATTATAGAGTTCCAGGATCTTGTTCTGACAGGATCCAGCTCAAATTCATCACTGTCAACAAGAGCTGTTCGTAACGTATAATACATGTAGAATGGGGATGTGAACCGGGGCTTGAACCATTTTAAATACACTGAATTGCGCCAAATGTTTGAAACTCTGCCCGTCAACTCGAAGCAGTCAGCTGACTCGGTCTGAATGAAGCAGTGAAGTGGTTTACACGTAATGAATGACGTCACAAGAAGCAAGCTCCGGCCCATTGCTTCACCATAACTACCTTGTCGAGTTTGAAGTGTGCTTTGAAGCTTCGGTGTTAGAGGTAACTTCACTAGCCTGGCCATAAAGCCTGTTTTCTACTACCCACCTCAGTGGTTTCATGAGAGGCCTTCGGAAGAGGAACCAGATGATGACAACGATGAGCTCTGGTTCACCCATGGTCCAAGCTCACGCCGCCACCATAAAAGGGGTCGACGGACACGGCTCCAACCCACTGAGCTTCCTGTTTCTCCTGCATCTCCCCACCTGACCAAGAAGCAGCTAAGTTCAACCCAGCCGACCACAAAGCAGCTGAAACCACTTCCCTACGTCTCAGTGGGGGTTGGCCATGACGCCCCACCCACCAGTGTCTCAGTGGGGGTCGGCCACGACGCTCCACCCACCAGTGTCTCAGTGGGGGTCGGTCACGACGCTCCACCCACCAGTGTCTCAGTGGGGGTCGGCCACGACGCTCCACCCACCAACGTCTCGGTAGGGGTCAGCCATGATGTGTCTCAACCTTGTGGCATTCTTGAGCCTCCTAGAGGTTCCATGCTTTCAGAGAGACCCAGGCCTTCAGAGGGTCCCAAGTCATCAGCAAAGAGTACCAGGCCAGCTACCGCCTCCACGACAACCATGTCTGCTGCCGCCTCCATGACAACCACGTCTGCTGCCACCTCCATGACAACCACGTCTTCTGTCGCCTCCACGACAACCACGTCTTCTGTCGCCTCCACGACAACCACGTCTGCTGCCGCCTCCAAGACAACCACGTCTGCTGCAGACCATTCATCCCTGGCGTCGCCTGCACATCCTTCTCGGCCTCTAGTGCTTGTTCAGTCCAGTGAGGCTATATCTTCTGAGGGCCCTTCCCAGCCAATGAAGCGGCAGAGACTTTGATACTGAACCTGTTGAGTACCCAACTGCTGGCGAAGAGGCAGAGACTTGGTGACAGACCACCTGCACACTTCTCAATGGGAGTTGAGGACGACTGCCCACTTTCCATGTCTTCAGAGGGGTCTATGCCACCTGTAGCTCCTGAGGTCTCTGTGCCGCCTGCAGCTCCTGAGGTTTCTTTGCCTCATCATAGCTCTTTGCCTCGTCTTGAGATGTCCACACCATGACCTGATGTGTCCATGCCACTTGGGTGCTCTACAGCATCCATGGATCTGCTCCGGCGTGCTGGACGGCCTCACGGCCGTCCTCCTATACTGTTGCCACGTGCTGGACGGCCTCTCGGCCGCCCACCTGAGCTGTTGCCGCGTGTTGGGCGGCCATCCTGAGCTGTTGCCACGTGTTGGACGGCCTCACAGCCACCCACCTAAGCTATGGCCTCCCAGCGATCTACCCAAGATTATGCCACTGAATGTTATGGCCCCCTAGTCATCTGCCTATATAGTTTTTTCCAGGTCTGATCCTGTCGGTTTTTGTGTTTGATTATTTTTCTTGGTGCCCTCCATCCTGGTTTTTTCCCCCTCCACCCACCCAGTCCGTTTCTTGTGTCTGGTCTTTGGGACGTCAGGAGCCGTCCCTTGATGGGGG